TTAGCAAAATTGTAATCATGTTGTGAAAAGTATGCTAATGATGTATTGATCTCAGAACTTATTATAACTGCATGGGCACTATTTCTGAGGCTATGCTGTCAATTTCTATCTGAAGTTCTGGAGAAAACAAAAATGATCCTTTATGGAACCATTAACCAGTTCAGAAAAAAAAATGTTGGGATGGGTAGGTTGGGGGAGAAAAAAATGTGCAGCAAATGCACCCCCAACTGAATGGTTAAATTCCACCAAGAGCAGTTCTAATATTCCTGGTTTCACAACTCCAACCTATACCCTAAAATGTTTTTCTAGAGACTGCCATGAGCACAGGTACCAGAGAAAAAGGCTAGATGATCTGTCAGTTCTCTTCTGGGTTCCGCACCAAGAATCAGAGCTAAGAGTAGAATCAGCAAAAGGATTAAGGCATTGAGAGTAGTCTTGAGAGAAGGAGGTGGGAGACTGAGTATATAAGGGTATCTACATCCCAGTGGCAATCATTCTTCATCTGTCAAGGTAGGGAATGGTATAGAGAAAAACATACTCCCTTTCAGTCAATCATATGTGATACCAATGACTGATATTTGACTGAAGATTTTCTTAAATAAATTGTGGTCTTACAACCACCATATTGAAGCTCATTAAGTAGAGACGGAAGAATTGGGTTTTCAAATATCCTTGAAAGAGCAAGGAAAACTCTTACCATATAGAGAATATAGTCTTCAATTTTCTAAATTAGTAACAGCATCCCCTTCAGATGAGCTGCATGCTCTGGCTTGCCAGGATCCATACTCATTCTATCTGAAAGACACCACCATTCATCCAGTTGCTCAAGCCCCAAGATCTTCCTTGGCATCTTTCTTCTTCTCTCACTCTTCATCTATCACCAATTGTCTAGAGTATGTCTTCAGCATCCATCATGAACTCTATCCTTTGGTTCCACCATTACCACCCTCATCCTAGCCAGTAGACTACATCAGCAGGCTCTGCCCTGGTCTCTCTTCTTGCACCAAAACCAACATTTTAAATGTAAAATCTGATCATGTCCCTCCCTGGTTGAACACCCTTGAAAGGTTTCAATCCTATGTAAAGTAAAATCAAAACCGTTAACACACCTCTAAGCCATAAGATCTTGTCTCACTTACCTCTTACAATGCTAGCTCCTACTATTTTTTTTTTTTTTTTTTATCTCACACTGACCCCTTAGTACTGTTTTGAGCATGTCTGGAATGTGTGTCACTCAGTGTCCTTGTACTTGTTTATCTCTCTTCTTGAATGTTTTTCCCTCGGAAATGTGCTCCTGCATGTCATTCATATCTCTGCTCAAATGTCATTTCCTCAGAGAAGAATTCCTTTGTCTCCTATTTAATATCTTCCACAATAGTAACAATTATTTCTTCACCCCACTTCTAGTAAACCCTTATGGCACATGTATAACTGACTTGGCTCCATATCTCTACTTATTTAGTCCTTTTTCATATCATTTGTAAACTCTATGGGGGTAAGGACTTGACCTTCATTACCTGGAGGGGTACATGGCACACAGTATGTAATAAATGTTTACTGAATAAATATATACATATTAATTTGCACTTAAAATGGAGCCTGTTTCATGACTATATGTTAATTTCCTGTAGAGAGTCAGGTTTCAGAACCGTGTCTTAGATAATACAGCAAGAAAGGCAGTGTATTACATAATCTCCCAGCATAATTTAATTATTCTCGTTGTTCCAATTGTATTGAAAAAGCTCCTCTCTGTTTTGACCTCACCAGGGAGATCTAGAATAACTAGTTTATGTTTCTGAAGACACAGAATATTATCCACACACACAGTCATGCTTAGATGGACTTTGATTTATTTCAAAAATTAAATATTATTGTTTATGCTTGCCAGATTTGCCTTTACTTTTCCAATCTCCAAATAGTAGAGATTCTCTAATTCCAGGCTCAATACTGATATGGTATTAAATCTCCCCTTTGTTTTCAGTTGGAGTAGTACCTTAGGAGTTCATTCTGTTGTAGACAGCTTAAAATAGAGTTGCACGCAAGATCACAGCAGCAATAAACTTGAAAAGGCTTCTAACCATGGCATAAAGGGAAAGGCACAGTTCAGAGGGAAACTGCCGAGAACATAGAAGAGAATTTAACTTCGACAGAGATGTATTTTTAGAAAGTTTTCTATAGCAGGCCTGGGGTATGCGAAAGCATGACAAAATCCATTGCCCCACAGCAAATGTGTCATTCCTGGAGACAGAAGAGAAGGATACTTGCATATGGTGATTTTTAAGGTTCCTAAATATCTTTTCACCATTAGCTTTTTAGAATTTTTTCAGAATCATTTTCACTTTGTGATTAGGCAATAAAGACCAAAGCCAATGTTTTAGTGCAATGCTGGCAGGAGGAAAGAGATGCTGGAAATTAAGCTAGAAGCCCTAGATTTGTGTAGTTTGCTCCACTAGTTGAAGCTACATGACCTGAAGCAAACTATCCAATGTTGTGGATGGAAGTGTGTCTGTTTGCCCCTTCTTCCTGGGCACACAGCCCAGAGTTGTGCCTTATGAATAGCCTGTGACCACTGTTCTCATTGTATTAGTTTGCTGGGGCTCCAGTCCCAAAACACCATAGACTGGGTGGCTTCAACAACAGACATTTATTTCCTTACAATTCTGAAGGGTAGAAGTTCAAGATCAAAGTGCTGACAGGGTTGGTTTCTTAAGATGCCTCTCTCCTTAGCCAGAAGATGCCACCTTCTCCCTCACATCTTCTTCCCTGTATGGTTACCAGTTGTATTGGATTAGGACCCACCCAAATGACTTAATTTTAATTTAAAGTCACATACTGAGGTACTGGAAGTTAGAAGTTCAACATCCGAATTTTGGGGGGTGGGACACCATTCAGTATGGTCACCGGTCAATAGAAGTGATTGTGTACAACTTCCGTCTCATCCACCTAAAAGATGCTTGTATGCATGTATACATGCAGGTACGTGCTTACTGTGATAACTTTCTTTCCTCCTCTTACCTTTTGCTAGAACTTCTATTATTCAGATATTGGGGCACTTAAGCTAGACCTCTATTTTTCTTTATTTTTGCTTGTTTTCTGGAAGAATATATCAACTTTATATTGCAAATCTTTTTTATTTTTTATATATTTTTTAATATTTATTTTTGAGAGAGAAAGAGAGAGCACAAGTAGGGGATGGGCAGGGAGAGGGAGGGAGACAGAATCTGAAGCAGGCTCCAGGCTCTGATCTGTCAGCACAGAGGCCAATGCAGGGTCAAACCTACGAACCATGAGATAATGACCTGAGCCGAAGTCAGACGCTTAACCAACACTTAGGTGCCCCTTACAAATCTTTTTAAATGTTATATATTGAACAGATCATAGCTTAAATTTCCACGTGCTCATTTTGGCCTCTGTTGCTTTTTGTTTTTTTGGATTCTGTTCTTGATTCCTGGTTACAATGCTGTCATTCTTTCTTCAGGGTCTGGTGGGATCCCACATAGCCACATTCATCAAAGTCCCCCCTGGAGGGTGACACCTTGACTGCCAGCATACTCAGAGCTGAGTGGGAGAAAAAGACAAAGGAGTCCAGTGTCCACTGTGCACAAGAGCACACAGTTCTCCCATTTTCACTGTGGTGGCTCCAACTTCCTTTTTTACCTGGTGCCTTCCAGTTCAGAGATCCTTTGTTTTATCATCTCCAAAAAATTAAAACTCCAGATCTTGCTGTGGTAGGGGAGAGAAGACACCTAGGAGGCTACTCTGGGGAAAGAGAGCTGAGGACAATAGGTTCATAAACTCACTTTCAATCTGTTCATTTTTTTTGCATCCCATGATTCACCCCCATATTTAGAGGTAATTGATACTGCCAGTTACTGGACCTTTGGGCTATTTTGTGATTGTTGTGTTTTCTTCCCCTTCTCTTCTCATCCATAGAGACTTAGGTGCTAAACAAGTTTTTCTTTCCTGTTGTTATAGTAGAGTTTCAGGAGAGAGTAGAAGTCAGCGTGCAGTTGCTCCCTGGAATGGAAAACTATGATCCTCCTTCATGGGTAACCTTACCTATACGGGATCATTTCTAGTTTTCCTCAGAGGCTAGACAGTCACTACTTATGTGACTCACTACGTTCATAGTTAGTTTCCTTACATATGATTGGGGATGATCAATACCTATAAATTAGGGTATCTGAGAGACCAAGTGAGGTAAGGTATGTAAAATTCATAGCACAGTGTATGGGACATATCAGGCACTCAACAAGTATCAGCTCCTTCAAATCATTTGGAAAGAGGTCATAAAACAATTTTTAAAAGACAAAGGTTAGTTCCTCTTCCACTCATAACTCTGAGGTCTTCCCTGCCAAAAGTGATAAATTTCTCTCCCTAGGATTATAATGTCCTCCTGCATTCAATTCAGTATTAGACAGGCTTTGTTATTTACACTTGTTTTATACAAATGAAGATTCTTAGTATTGGTAGTGAGGTAAGATTTGGTGAAACATGGGCCCGACCTCAGAGACCTCATAGCTGAAAGCCTGAAAGTAGGTGTTTACTGTTTGGGACAGGCTTCTTTCAATTCCACATGGGTTAGTAGAGATTCTTAGGAAAAACATAGACTCCCTTCTGGGAGACCAGAGGCTGTAAACCTGGCCATGTTGACATGCTTCTGGAGTTTATGCATTTGTTTTCTACTTTCTCTAATTAAATTGGAAAGGTTTTCTTCAGGTGAGGCAGGATTCGGTTTCCTTTCCACTACTGCATATTCTGGGTGGAAGGAATCTGGTTAGACAATGATGGAGGATCCTGAATGTCTTTGCTTCCCATCTTTATACATCTAACAAGAAGCCAAGCTTCAAGATTCAGGTCTGTTCTCCATGAACGTCCCACAGCGCCATCCTGCAGTCTGAAGTGCTCGCTCTGCATAGCTCCTTATTTGTGCTTTTCTGGCACCCTTCGTCTCTTCTTACCTTGATAAAGAGATGCTATCTCTCTTCTACCCCCAGTGGCAGACCCTGGAGCTCCTCTCTGAGAATGAACACGTACATGCAAATATGACAGCAGAGAATATCCTCATGAATCCTGAGGACCTGACCTAGGTAACAGCCGGGTCCTCCCCACTCCGCTCTATGTATGTTTTTAAAAGGATTTTACTTTTAAATAATCTCTACACCCAACATAGGGCTTGAACTTCCAACCCTGAGATCAAGAGTCACGTGCTGTGTCAACTGAGCCAGCCAGGCACCCCTGTCCTGTGTACATTTTATCTCCTTGACAAACTTGAATTCCTCAGAACCGAAAATCGAGTTTATACACATTTACTTGGAAGAGTGTTAACTACTCTTTAATCACAACAGTGAGGTAAGTTAGTTGTGTCATTAAGGTGTTCTGAACTGAATGCAGTAGATGGAATGACTGGGCCTGATTCCCCTCTCCTCATGTGTAATTGCAAGTGTTGTCCATTCGTGCTGTTCCTGGCCTGTCCATCCATGCTGTTCGTGGTAGGTGAAATGTGTTTCCCAAACTTTGACTTCAGGCATAACCCCAGAGATGCTAGTACCATCAGGGTATGGAAGTCTTTTGTGCAGTTGGCTTACCTTCTTGGGCTTCTGAAGACATAAGAAGAATGTGCTGCAGAAAGCTTTCCCCGAACTCCCAGTTTAGTGGCTCCAGCTGACCTGCTAACTCCCAGATATCATGGGTCCAGCTCAGCTGACTGGCAGATATATAAGTGATAAATAAATGTTTGTTGTTATAAGCTTTGCATTTTGTGGTTGTTTGGTATGCACCATTACTGAGAACATCGCAGACTAAGTCTAGTAGACCTTGACAGTGATATATATTTTCAGCTGCTAGTATGACTGATAACATGGATTTATTTTTTTGTAAGGTCTTCATGTTACATGTGATCAAAGTACTGTGTAGTTTCCTGTCATCATTATTGAATGATGGCACTATTGAGTGACTTTCCTATTTAATGTCTCTCTTATTTAATGTCTTTTTCTGCTGATCTCTGACTCCTGTGAGGTCAGCAATTATGTCTGATTTAATTCTTGCTAACCCCAGTGACTATCATGAGATCTAGTACATAGAAAGTGCTCAATTAATATTAATCAAATCGATGAATAAATAGAAAGTCGATGGACAGACTCCCACGATACTTGGAAAAGCTATGTATTCCTCATCAGAAAAAGGAACAGAAATATGCACATGAACTCAGCATGTAATATAAAAGAGCTCATAAGACTTTAAAATCTGTCCAATTCTTGGGCTGAAAGCTTAGAACTCATGGTTAAGATAATGTGGAAACATTTCAGACACCAGAGCCTGAAAAGCCCCTAATTTTTGCTGTGGTATTTTAGGAACAAATGTCTATATACATTGGCAAGACTCAGTAATTTTCCAGGGGACAGGTTATTTGGCCAGATGAGTCACTTTCCCGGTCATGCTGTGTATCCTTCTGTAAGTTATTTCATCTTTTACTCATCAAACAGGCTAAGAGATAGGCCAGAACAAAAGGAAACGGACTCAAAGGTCATTTTTCTAGGACCCAGAGGAGAGATATTATGTGACCAGAGAAAGGTAACAATATATACAAATGGTCATCACTGCTGAAAATGAAATGCATTATATTTAGTGAGTGTGAAGCTGTATCCCTGGAAGAGAATAGAGGATAGTTAACAGTAGGGTGACTCTTTGAGGGCATTTGTATCTACACAGAAAGAGGGCAGAATGTTCTCATCCTTAATTTCCAGGTTGTGTCTCTTTGAAGCAGGCTATTCCCAGTCACGCTGGGAAAAGTAAGGCAGCCCAGCAGGCCGAGATGGGGCTGTTTGTTAGAATTAAGTCCATTTAAATTTGGATGGGAGGAAATTTCATGTGTGGCTCTGTGGAAATGGAGAGGGAACCTTAAACTTGGGTGGGATGGGGCTAGGGGTGAGAATTCCAGTGGAGGATGAATGGACTACAGGCCCCATGAGTTCTTTCTTTTTCAAATCATCTCTTAATTATGCAATTTGTGGTGAGTCATTTATTCTTTCTTTTATGTCTCAGAATGATCAAGTTTGTGGTTTGATTTTTACTTCCATGGTTGGGAGTCGTGATTTCTCCGCTTTTAGACCACTCATTATGACTCTCGGTGACTTGTGTAGGGTCTCTCACAAAAGAGAATAGGGTAGAGACAAAATAGATGCACAAATTGAAACCACAGGGAGACATATGGTCTATTCCTAATGGTATGACTTTGAGCAAGAGACTTCTCCTCTCCAGGAAATGCCTTTCCAATCCCTTGAGATTATAACCTTCAATACTCACTTCCCTTGTTCCTGTTGAGATGATTCTTGTCACCATAGGTGCATGGGAACCGGGCCATCTACTGACTAGCATTGACCGAGACATTCAAACTCATGTAAACTAAGGTGTTAGTAAGCCAAATAAGAAAGAAACAAATGAGAGAGAAATTTCCCCTTTCATTCCAGACACAGAGAGTGAGGAAGTTTATGGAACTGGCTGGTGTTCTGGCTAACTGTAGGCTTAAGTTTGTATTTCATTATGAACAATGGAAATAAAAGCCATATTGAATATAGCATCCTTTTGTACTGGACTCAAATACTAAAAAAACACTCATCCATGTTTTGTTAAGTTTACAAAATGTTAGTATTTCATCACAAGAAAAATTCTCCAAATGTTTTATGTAGTAATGTCTTACTTAACTTCTGCACTTGAGCTAGCAACACAACAAATTACAAATTTCTATCAAATCTATTTTCTTGAAACTGAGAAATATATTGTTTCAGTTAAAAATAATATTTCACGGAAATCTTTTGAAAATTCATCAAGTGCATTTTTGCCCCATTGGGCAGATTATGTTGAATACATGTTAATCTTTCCTTAGTAACCAATCATTATTCTTATGTTCACATTTATCATAATCGACAGGAAGATAGCATGCTTTTCTTCCACCTTTATTGCTGATTATCAGCTCTTTTTCTGCATGTGTAAACTTTTCTATACTTAGTTTCCTATACTTAGGAAAGGGTCATATGAATAAGTTGTTAGGATGACATGTAAATTAAGAGTCAGTAGGATATGAATTAAGATCCAAGGGTCCTGGGGCACCTGGGTGGCTCAGTGGGTTAGGTGTCCGACTTCAGCTCAGGTCATCATCTCACGGTCCGTGGGTTCCAGCCCCGTGTCGGGCTCTGTGCTGACACCCAGCTCAGAGCCTGGTGCCTGTTTCGGATTCTGTATCTCCCTCTCTCTCTGATCCTCCCCTGCTCATGCTGTCTCTCTCCCTCTCTCAGAAATAAATAAAACATTTATTAAAAAAAAAAAAAGATCCAAGGGTCCTGACAATAAGGAACAAGCTTTAGAATGTTTAGTCATTGTCTGTGAGAGCTTTGCTATTTACTTCTTGAATTTTCAAATCACATTCTTGATATGTGAAGTTTACATTGTATGTGCTAAATGTGTTTACACACCTGTGCAAGACATACAGAAAGGTGTGTGTGTGCTTCTGTGTGTATATGTGTAAAGGGTCCAACATCGTATTGTGGAAGAAGCATGGCCATTAATCATCAAACAGACCCTAACAATACTCCACTGATAAATAGCTGTGTGACCTTGGGAAAAATCCCTTGTTCTTTTTGAGACATGGAGTTATAAAAATACCAATTTCTTTTCTTTTCTTCTTTATAAAGATACATGGCTAGTCCTTCTCCCTGTATCTATTGTCAATCTCTTTGCTGCTAGAAATATTGAACTTGTTTCCTGTTATAATTAAAACTGGCAAAGTGATTTCCTTAATTAAGTTATTTTCTACCAGTTTATTTGTTTAAACTACTTCGTCCAAGAACTGTAACTACATGGCATATAGGCCACCAGTTTTTCTTTCATAAATGATAATCACTCTCTTTTCCAGTGAGCCTAGGTGAAGCCTCAGCCCTTCCCACACAGCGCTGGGTTCCACAACCAATCCACCAGTACTGGCACATAGGATGAAACCCAAACCCTTGATTTAGTCACTGGAATGACAATTCCAAGATCATAATAATTTTGACTGGTGTAGAAACAGGTGCATTGAGAAGTAGACAGAAGAGCTTCCCCTAATGTGTTAGTGAGTAGTGACGGGAGAAACCTGAAGATCTGTGTTGGAACAGAAATATGCGATAGCAGAAGGAGCACAGAGAGGGTCTGATGAACATTTCCCATCACTCTGGTCAGCATCCTCTGTCACGATGCCAAGAAAATAAGCTTGCTCAGCCCTGGCACTGGTAACAAGTCTGTCAACTATTCTTAACAGCCCTCAGTCTGAAAGAGTACTGTGTTCATGTTCATCTCATAATTTAGATGCCTTTATTGTGAGTTTTATCATTTCAGAGGGAATATCATCCAGTTTTCAGTCCAGTTGAGTGAACACGTATGTATTAAGCACCTACTCTGTGTGAAGCATGCAAATCACGCCAAGTCTGTGAGGCTGTCCCAGCTCTCACAGTGCTCATAGACAGGTGGAAGTATGTACCTGTGGATGCATGGATGCTATCCACGGTGATAGTTTCCATGAGAGAGGAGAGCACATCCATTCATTGATTCTTCTACCTCTCATCCTCTCCAGAACTCAGTAGGCATGTAGGTAGTCTAATTTCCTAACTAGAGTGAACCCAAAAGTCTAAATCTTAGACATTACCAACCAGTAATGTATGTGTGCTAGCTTAAAACAAATCATCTTCATCAGCATCACCCCCTTTAAAAAGTCAGTCAGCCCCGGAGGCTAAACAGACTCTAGGATCTGCAATGTGCCATTTCAGAAATGAGTTCTGTAGCTCATTCTTTTAGAATAATCTTTAAATTTATTTGGCAAGCCTATTATATCCAGGGAACGAGCTAAGCTCTGGGAGTACAGAGAGAAACAAGATCTATGACTGCCTGAGCTGCTGGGTCTAGGGAGATAACTAACATGTAAATAAGAAATTAGCATAAAATGGAGGCATCAGAAAGCCATGGCATTTGAGTTAAACTGGATGGATGAGCAGACATTCATCAGGTAAAGAAATAAGATAAGGGTATTCTAGAAGGAAGAAATTTAGAGGAAATGGCAAGT